CCGCTAAATTCCGGATTTTGCCGTCTAGTCTCTGCTTCCTCGGTCAGTCTTTCACGGACTTGAAATGAAGCAGTTCTACAGTCAATGACTGATACGGGGGACCGGGAATTACCCAACAAACCATTGCCAGATAAATTCTGCGTCCAGTGTGATAGTGGATCATTTCGCGTTTGAGTCAGAATAACGCATATTGTTGGTTTGGCTTATGTAAATTTGGACACAGAATCTCTCAACCCTGGCCATCTATATTATGCATACATAAAGAACCAATCCTGTGTTTATCTTTTCTCTTCCCATCAGCCCGGTTCTCTTGTCTCTCCATGCTAATATCCGCCATTCATGCGCGGCTTCTAATCGAGCGCGCACGGCTGTTCTGGCTATACGCCATGCCTTTCGCTCCATCTTGAAGCCGTTACCTACTTATCCAACTGGTATACTGGACTGCAATTCAGTGTGTTTTTCTCACTACTTGATATTAGTTTCCAACGGTTAAACGGCCCTGATGATGCATAAACAAAGTCGTTCTCTTTTACCTTCCGGTGCTCGGTATTTGGATTGCGCCAGAGTGCTGACATGCTATGACAATTGATGGGATCCAGCGGTTTCCTGTGTATTGCACCAGATATTTAAGGATCCTCCCATGAACACAGTCCCAAGATAAAAAACTTCGGAAATCAAGGGTTATCTGGTAAGTGCGACACTAATGGCGAAGTAGAAGCCAGTGAGAACACTACTCTTCAGTTAAAGTACAGCGGTGAGCTACAAAGCAGAAATTGTCGGAATATTGGTAAAAGCAGAAGTGGATCGCAAAACACTTGAATGTACCAAAGAAATGGCCTCTTTTCGTGTGTCTAGAATGGCTGAAAACAGATAAAAAGTCAGCGTGTGATTTTTTGGCGCGATTCCCTTACGTGATCTTGCATGATATTTCTGTTGACCGCCGAACGGGCCCCGGTTTGCTTGATGGGGCCTTACGCTAAATGACTTACCAGTCATCCTAGAGGAAGCGTTCAGTGAGATAATTTAATTAAAACTTCCCTATTTGTTCTATATCTGATTTCTATCAGCCTTGATTTTACAGAATTCCTGAACTTATGAGCCAGGTACAAGCGGACCCTTCAGGAGACAATTGAGGACGGCAACCTGAATACAAACTCTGAAACGGCGCATTTTCCCTCCAACAAATCGACCAATTTTAGTTTTCAGCATTCTGTCTTCGATATTAAAAGTACCTGTCAACCTCATAAAGATTTGAGTCCGCCTCCAAACCCACTCCTCGGCAGTTGGACATTATTATTGCTCTACAATACATCGCGATCGATAGACGGGGGGAAGTCTAGTGGTCTTTTATTCTCAAAGTTTCTGACTGAAAAATGATGAAGCATTGCTGTAGAATGTTCAACAGATGGCCGCAAATTCAGCAGTCTTTCTATGGAAATTGTTCATATAATTTGTCCAGACCCAACGTATGTCTCGTTGCGTACTGCAGGGACGGCCGCACCACGGTTATTCAGGCTCCCCGAACGACTTCTAAAGGAGTGATTTTCTAGATAACTTCCTTTTGCGCCGTTCAGCATCACTGTCAAGCGGAAAATCCGTTCTTGTGCCAACTTCATCTTGGAATGAAAACCTTAGCCCCTTGTTTGCGCGTCGCGGTTTCAGGTGCGTGATCGTTAGAACCCCATTTCGTTTCAGGCGTGTCATGCCACATTATTGCTTGCTCCACCGAACTTTGAGCGCTGTATGGACATTTTATATGTATGCATCTATAAATGACAGCAGTTTCCTTAAGCTAATGGCCAATCAGGCTTAAGTTCTGTCTCAAATCTTTCGTACATCGAGATGTAACGTTAGGCTGGGGCCTATCCTTTACTTCGGACGATCATATGGATGTAAGTTCCGACATGGGTCTTAACTGCCCGGTTCTCATAGACTTTGGCCTTTCACTAATGCAAATTCCTGACGAGATCACTAGATTGAGCGAGGAATTTCACCAAGTGTTTTGATCCCAAAGGGCACCCGAAAGCTTCCATCTAGATCGGAGCTTAGCGGGTGTTCTTCAGTTTCATCTAGCGAATCATTTCGAATGTTCCTCCATGCAGTAGTAGGCTGATTCGAAAAATGTCGGAAAAGGACCGCTGTGAAGAAGAGCCAAGCAAACTCCAGTAACGGGCGGCTGCTGTGCCAATCTAGTCATGTCACTTGTTTGGTGAAATGTAAAGGGTGACCGTTAAGATATTGGACTAACTTGCCTTCCGTTTCCAGCGTGATTCTCGCGATTGTAGAGTGTACATCTCGAATGCTATTTATATTCTCAAATTAAATACTGGGTTTGCTTCAAAACTGCATTCCAACCTATATCAGTAAATGAGAAGCAATGGACATGAAAATCCATAATTGCCTGCATATACCCGAAACATCCTGATGACGACACTAAAGCCACTTGATGAGAGTCAGTGAAGCAAACGCTACTGATTGTGAAAGCCCCAAACACATTGATGGTAGAATGCTTCACGGCTACTCATGATGAGCGGAGATCAGTATAAAGAAAAGTGACGGGACAAATGTGGAGCGGAGGTAGACAACTGAAGCCAACATACAGCAGGCATCAGAAAGACCGGAGGCTGATGTAGAAGAGTCAATAGTCTAAGGAATTGAATAAGGACACCGATTAATCCGTAAATTTTGTTCGCCTCAGGGTTAGTACGGCAGAGGGAACTCCGATAAACTATGAGAGTATGGTGATCCTTCTGACCATTGTATATTAGTACTTTCTTTGTAACTTAGCATTACTCAAATAGTACCACTTTCTATCTCTCACTAAATCTCAGCTTATTCCTCTTCCCTTCATACCGAATAACTTTTGTTTAAATGAAAGCAAAAGAAATATGGATGCATACACACGATACAAATTCTGTACTTCGTGAAAGGCGTGGTCCCTTCTTGCTGTGACGAGTTAGGCTGTCAGTGAATTAACGAGCGGTGATCTACCTTTCAGACTACGACGGGATAGAAAGTATCTAGGGATATATTAAGGAAGATTCCAGGAAGGAGATCGATTTGGATTTATTGTGGTGGTAATAACTAACTGTACCAACGAACTATGAGTTGTATCATCTCGTCTATTTTTACTCACTTGATTTAACTACTTTGAACTGGTATTTGCTAGCGTTATCCACTACAAGAGTACTGGGGCATGCCTATATCCGGTTAATCAGCGGGTAATACCAACCCAAGATGTCCAAGGTCGTAAGTGCACCCGGCAAAGTGTCCGACAGAATGCACTACTCCAGGGTTTATAGGCGTCGCCATCATGTGTCTCACAGCAAAGTCGTCGGATTCCGGGGCACTCGATCCATGGGAGAGTACTCTACTCATCGCTCCCATTAAACTTGCTACAATCCACCGTATTCCTCGTTTGAGACATCCATTCATTTAAAATATGACGAACTGGCGCAGAGATTAGGAACATACACCCAAAAGAGGCCTCCGTGTGGGTACCTTACCAAGGACATTACGATATATTAGATAGTTTTGATCGTGCACGCAAAAACCGGGAAACTTGAAAGCCAGTTCGTCCAAGAATCAGTTTTCACAACAAGCTGGGGTCCGTCGTATTTTATAAGATTGGTTCAAGGGAATCCCACTCGCTCTACTTCCTCGGAATATTTCCACTAGCAACACAATTCCAACATAGGTTGTATAAAACTTTACTTCAAAAGCGGGATTCCCTGATTCTTCACAGTGCCAAATCCGTTGCAGTGTTCTTGCTTGCACTTTATTTCGTTACGATCAAAACTCAGCAGAGCAGTTTTGTGTGGGCGATAGCATAAAATGAGGACTAAAATCTAGCGCCACAAACCGCACATGGTAAACTTGATGACGCCATCCAGAATAAATATGAACACAGGTAATATGACGAAACCCAAGTATGGCTACGCTATCCAATTGGGGGGGGGGACATGCGCTTGAGAGCTACGCTCGCGTCGAAAACTCCATACGGAAATGCGCCTAATTCGAACCAGGTGTCCGAACGGATAACCACTCCCAAAGTTCAGGCAACAAAAGCCAAGCGATGTACTCGCCCTCGACCCCCCCCCCCTAGTAAGGCGACAAAATAACACGTTCTCAGTCAAGGACTAGGCTGAGAAATTTGCAAACTCTCCAGCAAATTGGGCGAACATTTGTCGCTTATGCCATATCGACCTAAACTACAACTTGAAGCAAACAGCCACAAGGAGTATGACCAAGGATTCTCGCCCCCTGTTGCTAACGCACACGGATCAACCAACTGTTTCAACCAACAGCATATTTTATCCCACTCTGCTGGTTCCATTCTCGGACATCCGTGGATGGAACCTCGTAGATTCTCGGTAAGTTATGATCAAACGACAGGCGAACTCGAATAGGGATCCTATATTATGGGACAAATGCTGTCTACATGGGTTTCCTCATCACATTCTAGGTTTTTATGTGAAATTTTTTACCATTCGTTAGAATTCTTCCCACCATAACGCTGCTGTATGTCGGGAGTGAGGACTACATTAGCATGTTTAATAGAATTCGAATTACTTAGCCCACACTAACATCAGTACCGGCTAATTATTATCACATGTAATGCGATGAAGCTAAGAGTGACCCTTATAATCCCAATAGTTACGGAAACTGTTACACAGAGCTACAGCTGGCACTAGCTAGGTAGGTGCTGGCGACTCTTCACGGCAAACCTGTCGGTCTGTTGGGTGGCCGAAAACATTCGAGTGAACTGAACCGAGGCGTGAGCAGAACTGACGTTACCATGCTACACTACTCTCCGATGGAAAGGTACACCTGATCCGGTTTTTCTAAGGTGCCTATGAGTTTGAACATGCCCAATGGGCCGGTGACACGTTCCTACGGTTACCTGGTACAAAAACAGAGCTGGTCTTCTTGTACGCAGTGATCATAATTGCACTTTTGTACCTTTCTCAAAAAATCGCAGCCGTGTTATCAAAATACAGAGTGGGACATAATGGGCAATATTTTGTTAGTATGATTAAAATAAGAGGCTGGTGGATAGAGAGCCACAGGGGGGATCTGAGGGTAGAACTTATTAGGGACTTGATAAAACTGTACAGGAATCGTCAGTCGCACGCAGCTAAAGCAAACGTATGCGACAATTCGGTTCACCACAGTAACAGTAGAGCACTTTGAATGGGACAGCGTCCACGGTGTAGCCATAATCCCAAGTCATTTCTTCTCCAACGGCAATGTTTCTGAAAGAAAAACAGTCAATTGATACAAATTCTGTACTTCGTGAAAGGCGTGGTCCCTTCTTGCTGTGACGAGTTAGGCTGTCAGTGAATTAACGAGCGGTGATCTACCTTTCAGACTACGACGGGATAGAAAGTATCTAGGGATATATTAAGGAAGATTCCAGGAAGGAGATCGATTTGGATTTATTGTGGTGGTAATAACTAACTGTACCAACGAACTATGAGTTGTATCATCTCGTCTATTTTTACTCACTTGATTTAACTACTTTGAACTGGTATTTGCTAGCGTTATCCACTACAAGAGTACTGGGGCATGCCTATATCCGGTTAATCAGCGGGTAATACCAACCCAAGATGTCCAAGGTCGTAAGTGCACCCGGCAAAGTGTCCGACAGAATGCACTACTCCAGGGTTTATAGGCGTCGCCATCATGTGTCTCACAGCAAAGTCGTCGGATTCCGGGGCACTCGATCCATGGGAGAGTACTCTACTCATCGCTCCCATTAAACTTGCTACAATCCACCGTATTCCTCGTTTGAGACATCCATTCATTTAAAATATGACGAACTGGCGCAGAGATTAGGAACATACACCCAAAAGAGGCCTCCGTGTGGGTACCTTACCAAGGACATTACGATATATTAGATAGTTTTGATCGTGCACGCAAAAACCGGGAAACTTGAAAGCCAGTTCGTCCAAGAATCAGTTTTCACAACAAGCTGGGGTCCGTCGTATTTTATAAGATTGGTTCAAGGGAATCCCACTCGCTCTACTTCCTCGGAATATTTCCACTAGCAACACAATTCCAACATAGGTTGTATAAAACTTTACTTCAAAAGCGGGATTCCCTGATTCTTCACAGTGCCAAATCCGTTGCAGTGTTCTTGCTTGCACTTTATTTCGTTACGATCAAAACTCAGCAGAGCAGTTTTGTGTGGGCGATAGCATAAAATGAGGACTAAAATCTAGCGCCACAAACCGCACAGAACGATAAACCGTGGTAAACTTGATGACGCCATCCAGAATAAATATGAACACAGGTAATATGACGAAACCCAAGTATGGCTACGCTATCCAATTGGGGGGGGACATGCGCTTGAGAGCTACGCTCGCGTCGAAAACTCCATACGGAAATGCGCCTAATTCGAACCAGGTGTCCGAACGGATAACCACTCCCAAAGTTCAGGCAACAAAAGCCAAGCGATGTACTCGCCCTCCCCCCCCCCCCCTAGTAAGGCGACAAAATAACACGTTCTCAGTCAAGGACTAGGCTGAGAAATTTGCAAACTCTCCAGCAAATTGGGCGAACATTTGTCGCTTATGCCATATCGACCTAAACTACAACTTGAAGCAAACAGCCACAAGGAGTATGACCAAGGATTCTCGCCCCCTGTTGCTAACGCACACGGATCAACCAACTGTTTCAACCAACAGCATATTTTATCCCACTCTGCTGGTTCCATTCTCGGACATCCGTGGATGGAACCTCGTAGATTCTCGGTAAGTTATGATCAAACGACAGGCGAACTCGAATAGGGATCCTATATTATGGGACAAATGCTGTCTACATGGGTTTCCTCATCACATTCTAGGTTTTTATGTGAAATTTTTTACCATTCGTTAGAATTCTTCCCACCATAACGCTGCTGTATGTCGGGAGTGAGGACTACATTAGCATGTTTAATAGAATTCGAATTACTTAGCCCACACTAACATCAGTACCGGCTAATTATTATCACATGTAATGCGATGAAGCTAAGAGTGACCCTTATAATCCCAATAGTTACGGAAACTGTTACACAGAGCTACAGCTGGCACTAGCTAGGTAGGTGCTGGCGACTCTTCACGGCAAACCTGTCGGTCTGTTGGGTGGCCGAAAACATTCGAGTGAACTGAACCGAGGCGTGAGCAGAACTGACGTTACCATGCTACACTACTCTCCGATGGAAAGGTACACCTGATCCGGTTTTTCTAAGGTGCCTATGAGTTTGAACATGCCCAATGGGCCGGTGACACGTTCCTACGGTTACCTGGTACAAAAACAGAGCTGGTCTTCTTGTACGCAGTGATCATAATTGCACTTTTGTACCTTTCTCAAAAAATCGCAGCCGTGTTATCAAAATACAGAGTGGGACATAATGGGCAATATTTTGTTAGTATGATTAAAATAAGAGGCTGGTGGATAGAGAGCCACAGGGGGGATCTGAGGGTAGAACTTATTAGGGACTTGATAAAACTGTACAGGAATCGTCAGTCGCACGCAGCTAAAGCAAACGTATGCGACAATTCGGTTCACCACAGTAACAGTAGAGCACTTTGAATGGGACAGCGTCCACGGTGTAGCCATAATCCCAAGTCATTTCTTCTCCAACGGCAATGTTTCTGAAAGAAAAACAGTCAATTGGAAAGGTGAGGCATGGGCCGATTGGTGCGAAGGATGAGAATTGCCTAGGTAACTGAAGAGGATGAAGTTGGGTAAGAGAAGTCTAGGAACCAGCTTTCACACTCAAGGTAGTGGGAATCAGTAGCTCGTATCACGTGATACCATATTGTCCGGAGATGTGCCAGTAACTAGTACCCATGATTCGGAATCGAAACATCCCTACTAGATCAGTGGACCTTCGCTCAAACGAGTAAGCGGCTTCCAGAAGGTCCGTTACGCGGCTCAGACTTCCACAATGGAACTCTCCAGAGAAATACCTCCTACTGCATACTTATAGAGAAAACGCATTCTTCCCGCCGACAGATCGATCAATTCATCCCACTGAAGAAGTCTCAGCTAGACTAACCAGTAAACTATCACAATGACGCCCGGAACGCTTCTGACACATACCCCTGAGTATATTCAACACGGGTAGCGACTCTGCCATAACAGACTTTAAGTGAAGGATATAAGTTTATTCACATTAACTGAAGCCCCCAAGCTGTGACGCACCCGTTCGATACAGATTTAAGGCATGACATTAGTGGGTGGATGATATTGTGTGACTCACTGTATTTGACTATCACTGCGCAAAAGGCAGGGAGTGACAAGAAGTAACTAATGTTGACGCTTGAAACATTGGGTCTCTTTTGTCTATTTGAATAACACAATAGTGAGAAGACATTTCATTATCATCTACTCAGTCACGATACTAGAAGGTATCACATATGGGAATAAGCGGCGATAAAACAGTGGAAAGGAGCCAGTCAGGTCCGTTCTCTAGTCCAAGGCAAGCTGACGGCGTGTCAGGGTCATTTATGAACACAAGCTGGGTCGATAATAATGAATCAACATGACATCAAAGAGCTGGAAACTTCCAGTTGACCTTGCGGAGCAAAATTTCAAACACCATATTCGGGTGTTGTCCAATGGACAGAACATTGTCAGCGATCGATGGGATGACTTTTCGGGTTCTGGCTGGCGGGGCACCGGTCAAGAGAGACAAACTTTCTGAGATGCGCTCGCATAAGATACTCTGTTCTGCCATCGCCGCAACTGCACGCCGGTTGATACAGAGCAAGTGAGACAGAGATTTTGCACAGTAAGCGGCGCGCATTGGAGAATACCGTGTCTCATTGATGAATGCAGGATCAGATGAGCGATTAGATTTGTACGACCTATTACACTATGTATTTCGCGTCATAAGGCTGTGGTTAACTGGCATCCTTTGATAAATACTTTCTTTTTTTACTGAACAACTAGGCTTCCATTCAGGTTGTGGGGTGTTGTGGACGTTCATAAATCATTTTGGGTAGTTGTTGGAGATAAGCATGTTTTGTAAGAACCCTTCTTCCTCAAGAGAGCCAGAGATACAAATTTGTCTGGTGCGGTCGAACAAAGTGCGCACTAGGGTTCTTTTACAAGAAAAAGGAGTGGAATGGGAAAAACTGCAAATACAGCCCAGTCCAAATGATGATGACGACCATGTGGGCTCACCGTACAAAGAACCCGTAGAAGTGCTGTCTGAGCCTCTGACGAAAAGAATAACTAAAGACGTTAGGCTGCTACCAATTTCTTCATCAAAAGACAGAAAGGTTTTGATATAACTTGTTCATACGATTGTACGGGTTCTTGAAGTAGTTGCAGACTGAGAAAACCAATATGTCGTCCACATATTGTGTGTATAGTATTGGAGGTAGGGGCAGAATGCCGTCTTTCAATTATGGCCAAAATGGTGATGTTGATGAAAGACGACGCTTGTTCTACGGACATTAGGCTATTATACTTAAGAATATAATGTATTGATATACGCTCTGCTGACTAGGAAGCGTAACAGCGATCCGCATGGTGCATTGTATTCACAGTTCCGGACGAAGAATGAACGGCAGATCATGGAGTCCAGAAATCTGAAGACGCTCACCACACAACTGTTCTCAGTCCTTTGCTACAGTCCGTAATGGGAGGACTTTACTTGACCAGAATCTGTGGTAGAAGTGCCTCAGTGGCTACCAGCAGCGTGACTATGTTGCCTTACTTGCACCATGATTATTTTTATGAACTCCGTTTCATTTTCCGGGGGTTTTCCTCAAGAGTTCCTTCCAAGATTATCCCTACGCGTCGTTTTGTTGTCAGACACACTGGCTTTATAGACCTTTGTGTTTATATATATATATA